GGGGGGGGGGGGGGGGGGGGAGGACGTCTAGTGCAAATTCCTTCGGGGCAGAGGCAACGCAAAGGCAAAATGAGGTACATGTTTATACCCTTCGCTAACGTTTTCCCCCGACAGCTTGTATATAAATTCAATCAACTGACTTGTGCAATTCACATCATAAACGCTTGCAATAAAATGCATTGCTCGATGGAAGAAGTCATCCGTCGGTGCCCAGCAGTGACCAAACGTGCCAAGCCTCTGGGTATTACAGATACCACGTATTCAGAGGTTTTCCACGAAAGTAAAAGAAGTACACGATTCTCTTTTTCATTTTATCTTGTAGCAAAAATATTGAAATTGAAATTCCGAGAAAATTCTTTCTTAAACTACCTCAATGTTGCTATTAAATACCTAAATTATTCATTATTAAATGTCTAATTACAGTACACTAAACATTTCAAGTGGCAAATCTAATTACCGACTCTTAATTTGCGTAAGTCCTTGGCCACTCCAACTTTTTGTAGCCACCTTCGAAATATCAAGCTTCGTAAAATACCACTCCAAGAATGCACCCCCCCTCCAACGAAAAGGAGCACTCCGACCGAAAGAATTTAATTGTAATTTTTCTTTATCATTCGGTAAAAATGAAATTACGAAAGTTACACTAGCTGTCGGAAAACCTCTACCTACAAATTCCAATTATCAGAGGCAAACCCAGACTTTTCTCGTGGGGAGACGGGGGTGGGGTATTTTCAAAGTCGCGGCCCATTCCCAGTGCTTAAGAGGAAACTGCCACAGGGAAGCGTCGCGAGGTAGCGCGTGCCTTCGGCGCCCACGCCCCATGCGCCTCGTGCGCGCTCGCCGCCTCTCCGGGAAGCGCCGTGTCAGCTTCTGGGGAAATGACACCATCTGACGATACCAGCAAAAAGCAATATTCTGTTTCGGCTTCACTGACGAGCAAATATTTCAGGTTTCCTCGCGAAATAATTCGTGCAAAACTACGATTATTTTAGGGTTCGTATTTTTTGTCGACAAGTTGGCCAGGAAGTGAAATGAGAGTGTAACACCTCTTACTCGCATGTGTTGGGTTCCCTGTAAAATTGTCCAATTTGAAGGAGGTTGTTTTTTTTTCTTTTGAAGGTAGACGAAATTGCAAACCATTTGGTTACACCTGTTTCAATGAAAATGAGAACGCTACGAAGGGATGACCAAATTGGGCGGTATTCAAGTACAAGAAAATGAAGAAAAAACACTTTTCTCCAAATTATGTACTTTTTCGCGACAAATGTATTAAGTCGATAGAATAGAGCGCCTTCACTTTTACAATCGTTCTCCTAGAACTCGATGGAAGACAAATGTCACATTGCACGGAAAGTATTTACAATTAAAAGGAATTATATTCGGCATTTTACCATTACAAACTGTCATCGTTCTTTTCTTCTTCTAAGGGCATTTTCCAGCTGACAGCCGGTTACCCTTTGCAACCTGACGGCACGCATTTTCCACCATACACTAGACATTAACACACTTTGCGGGCTCCTCAGATCTGTGGCCATAAGAACGCGAGGCCCTCCGCGACACATTCATGAGAGACAAGGGGCAATGCCAATGCCCAAGGCCGAAGCGCTAAGTGGGTAGACGCTCTTTCAGCCACGCTCTCGGCCCTCCAGGTTGGCTCTTTTACATACATAATAATACATAACAAGAATATCAATACAGAACATAGAAACGCAACCAAAGCAAACACTAGAGCTCTCACCGATGTTGCCGAAGATGATGCCGTTCTCGGTGGAGGCCACCTTCACGTTGGCCTTGATGTTGCAGAAGTCGCGCGGCGCCAGCACCACCGGCTGCGGCTTCTCCACCAGCTTCAGGTCGCCGAGCGTCGCCAGCTCCAGCGTGCAGTTCTGCAGCGTGTCGCCCGTCTGGTTCACCACCAACACGTCCAGCACGATGTCGTACTGGTTCACGTGCACGTACGCCTCGGCGTACACGGGGTCCGAGAAGCCCGTCAGCTGCGTCACCTGCCACACACATTCCACGTGCTCGGTTTCGGATCTGGGTCCCGTCTGTTTATATCAAAGGCGCAGGCCGCAGATGAAGATAACCTTCCTCTCTGCTGTCCTGGTTCGGTCGCGTCTAGGTTGGCTTACTAAGGTTTCGGTCGTTCTAACGTGGCCTTTTCGGTTTGCCTGAAGTCCACGCATCTCCACCCTAAAGTGGTAAGGATCGTGCGGTCGAACTTAAGCAAACAAACCTACTAGGCGACATCGTTCGGGCAGCCATGAGCAACCTCTTAATTCGAACCGCGAAGCCTACAACTTCCGAGATTTTGGGTCACATTGAAAGGGTCAACTTACAGATACAATTCCCAAATTTATACATGTCACTTGATTCAGAATGATTGTAATTGATTTTGCAAGACTGTTTACGCTCTACTTTCTGAACGATTTACCTTTGCCGGACGCTCCGACAAATTTAAATAAACGAGTGGTCACATCTCAATGACACCGACCATCTAAATACCCCAAACCGAACCACAGAAGTCATGTATTTATAATGAGAGGTATCAGTCCTCGCGATTGTTGACATACAGGACACAAACCACATTCCCACCCATTCAGAATCAATGCTGCATTTCCTAGAGTGCCTTACCAGCACCTCCAGGAATTCGCGCCATTCCAAAGACCTCGATAACGGCAGCGCTCACCGCGTGCGCCGCGGCATGTGGTAGGAGCGTCACCGCGGGGAAGGTATGTCTGCCACTACGACTGTCACATGCGCCAGGCCGAAGTACACGCCTTCCACGAACTATTCGATTTCCTCCCTGTAATGGAACATGGAGAAGGGGGGTATCCACTTCACCCCTGGCAAACCATTTTATTGTAAGTGATCTGCCTGATTAAACAATTGAGGGGAATATAGCCGCAAATCATTTTTATTCAACAAAATATGTTTCTCAAAGGAAGTTCATATTGTCATTAAAAATAATCAATCTTCGCCAGGCGAACTGTGATCAATAATATGAGATTGTACCCTTCACACACCTCAAGTTTCATTTCTTCGCAATGCATCTATTGCACGTAAGTACCCAATTAATTTTTACTAAGCCAACATTACGCTCCGAGAAGCCAAAATGTAAAGTAACACCGTAAGAGCTAGCCGGAGTTTTTTTTTGCACAGTAGGGAGCCTAATTCGTCGTCTTCATTTTTTTCTCTCTCCAGATATGATCGTAGGCTTCAATAACACTACCCGAAACTCAATCGAACATTCCATATCAACATTGTTTTAAGCCTTAAAATGCATCCTTCAGAGATATGAATTAATTCTTTGGTATGTGTGATCTCTCTCTCACTTTCTCATACCGCAGACACCGCTGGAGAATCAGCGGCTTCTTGGACTAGGCAAGGTGGGCACTGCTTACCTTGATGAACACGCACTACTTTTTATACAATACACAAATACAATTAAAAGTTCCTTACAGTGGTATCACTTATTTTTAAATATAAAATTAACATTTTATTATATCGGAACAAGCTATATTCTCAGTTCATTACTGAACCCCAGCAGATCCGTATTTTATGTATTTAAGATCAAAAAGAGGACACGTTCGAATGCTGACTCATTTCAAGTCGCATTCTGGGAAAAGGCCTCGTAGAGAGCGCAGAATCACCATAGTGCTATGCTTATACTCGATGCATGCGTATTCTACCTAGGTGGGCGAAGTATGACACTTCCTGTCCGCCATAACGACTTTGATATCCAGTCGAAATAATAGTGCCGCACTTGTTTAATTGTGAAGTGGAAAAATTGACTGACATTTACCGTCTTACCCTAATTTTGTTAATTTTTAAATTAATTTGCCTCGAATTATTTGGTCGAGTTACATGCTATTTTTAAATTTTAATATGTATGTAGGTTATGATTATCATTATTATTAATATGATTTCCAGAGTGCCTTTTCTCGTCTTAACTATGTAAATATGATAAATTTTCGACATTTGGCCACACTTTCTTACATTAAGAACGGTTGTACATAGCGCTAGCAAAAAATTAAAATTATAGCTAGAACCGCCTACCTCATACATTTCTTTAAAAATAATACTTTTTATAACGTAAAATTCTTCTTGAAACGATGTCTGCGCGGACTTAATGGGAATGCTGCATTGGAATATGATACGATCAATAGATGCTTTGCCTAAAATGAATGAAATCGCTAAACAAAAAATATGTAACGGGGCTGGGCACAGCTCCCGTGATCCCCCTCCTGATCTGCCGCTGTAATGTTTTGCTACCCTATGCTTCACAAGCCGCCACGGCTGATACACCTCCACCAATGTCAACAACTAGACCTAATTTGTGACAAATCTTTCACATCTCGAAAACTAACATCATAATTGTCGAAAAGTATTGGTTGTATTGGTTATATGAATGACTATTTTAAAAGGATTTACAAATATTACATGTAATAAATATTTTATGTTGGCGGAGTTGTGCAAACAGTTTTTTCACAAATCAATCGCAGGTGGAATCGTTACAGACTTAGTTCGTTTCACTAACGATGGCAAATTCTGCTGTGATTGAAGCTGCGGTTGTGGAACGCAAGGGTGGAAAAAAAGCTGACCTTAACCTACTAGATAACAGAACAACCTTTCTTTTTTGGGCACAACAAGGTAGAAGATTTGTTTTCGTGGATATTTGCACAAATAATTTTACGTAGTTGAACAATCACAAAATAGGTCTACGCAAAAGGCAAAACTTAATTTATATGAATCGTTAACTCGCGGTGGGTGTGAGGATCATTAAATGGATTATAATGTGAAAAGATGGGTGGTAAAGTACTGCAGAAAGAACAACGACCACTTCCGTCTTGGCTTTGAAGTTTATAGCCTCTTCTACAACATCTGTCCATATAGCTACAATACTGTCATAAAAACAGGCTGAACGTCAGCCATTGCGTTTCGGTGAAGGAGACAATGTTGACGAGTAATATTCATGTAATAGAGCTGTAAGTGCAAATAAATTAATTTAAGAATTTGTGTGCGTTTTTTTCTTCTTTCTTTCGAAATGCATCTCTTACTTAGGCAAATAAACGTGCTGGCCAGATAGCCGCGTTGCAGCACCGTTCGGGAAACGTCCTGTAGCCCGGCGTGCGAATCTCCGGCTCGCTGGTCGAACACGGCACGCTCCTCCCAGTGAGAATAAAACGTAGCAAGAACGCGGTAAATTGTACAAGGCGAAGGCGGTTAGTTCTTCGTTTTTTGAACATTCAGTTCAACACGAGAAACGAATAAGACATTCCCGGGAACACGAACATCGCCTGCGCCTCGCAAAAGGCCTCGCGATGCGGTTATTCTTCCTCCGTAAAAAAGACCCCCCTGCGAGCTTCATCTCGCAAAGAACGAGTAGCACCCAAGGCTGTACTGCTTTGTGCTAAAAAAGTAAAACGTTTAACGAGTTCGTTGACGTTCTTTTCGCAATGTCTTTCGATTGCTTCCTACACTGGTTCAGGATCATAGCACACGAAACAGATGGACACTAAAATCGTACGAACACACCAGACGCGTTTATTAGATCTTACGGTCGCATCTGCAAAACTGTTTCCGTCCCCAAAAGATCCACGACTAGATCTACTACTAAAGGCAATAAAAAGATTTGGTCTTCAATATCTAAAGCCGAGATTAAATCAGCATTCACTTCTCATTAATATTATCGAGATTTACATAAGAACAACTTTCAGGCAAGGCTGAATTTTATTAATGGCTAAAGTTTTACACACCAATTTTCTTTTAAAACTGATAGCACAAGGCGTCAGGATTACGATGAGCCTATTAGCCAAGAACGATTTAGGATCAGCAAACGTGGCTGTTGCTCCCCATCGCATGGCATTCATTGGGCGTGTCGCTTACCACGTGCGAGCGAACAAATTTGGAAGTCAAGATAATATTTTTTCTGGTTTTCAAACAGCTACCCATTCGCGCCAACGAATAGAAGAGACATTCAAAAACATACACTCATTTAAACTAAATCAGAAAACATTCCTTTCTTTGTATTAAAAAGCACGGACAAAATTATGACATCTTAAGATAATGAGACTGACTCAAAAACTTGTTTTGTTAGATAATTTTTGTACCGTAGCTTCATTTACCAGTACAAGGATTTTTGTCTTGTCACTTCTGAAGGTTAAACATATTGTGACGGTAGTGTCATCAAATGTTAATGAATGTTTCCTGCCTTAATTTCCCTGCCGTTCTTGACACTGTAATTCACTTTTTTAGTTCTTGACATCCCGATTTGTATTCACAATTCTTCCTGACACATGATCACCTGCTGTGAAAACCTTCCACGAGGTTAGCTCTCAACTGATGGATCCTTCCATACACAAAATTCTTCAATCACATGATGTGCAATGGACAAGTTAGTTTTGAGCATCCAGTAGTCTGTTACCTGGTTAAGTTTCTTTTGTTCAAACCCTTTTTCTGAATCTCCTTTTCGAACACTTTCAGTAAGAGATGTTTTTCGAAAAATATTACGACCCTAGCATCACATTGGCGACAGTTATTAGTTTGATCTTCATAAAGCGAGCACTGACAAGAATAAGCCATTGTTCCTTGAAATATCTAACACTAAGGGATGTTTAGAGGTATGTATGACTTTCTAGGGCTTTTAACACCAATGTTCAAACATCCTTTTATATTCATCTATGAAGTAGCATTCATATAACTTCCCATGACCAGTATGTTTGGAATTATTGTTCGTAAGGCATGTCAGAGCCATATTTAAGTATACTCCATTTCTAGTCGATGACTTTATTGGCAAAGTGGTCATTTTGTGTCTACAGGGATTTAACAGACAAAGAATTGGTACACTCTTTTCACAAAGGAAAATGGCCCCTCCTCATACCGAAGGATCCTAACTCCCCTCTCACTCCATTTATAAAACGATGCCCATGCAGGAAAGTAGCGAAGAACTGTTGACATGCAAAGTGGCTCTCCACATCATTCCCATGAACAAGGATGATAACTTGTCATTTATGCCATTAATCCAGTGCTCTGAAGAAACCTAATTGCTGAAGAAAAGTCCAACTTTAGCACTTTGTAAAGCAAGGGGCAATTAAAAATTAATTGCTATACTCTATCAGCTCCACACCACATCTGTTGAGATACCACCGTTTTCATAGAAGAAATTTTATGTTGATCATGATGCACAAAAAGTAGCTAGTGGAAACTGCCAAAGCTGTCCTCCAGCATACATTTTATTCTCTGCCCAGTCTCTCATCTGAGAGGCTTCTTGTTAAATTAAAAAGGTTGAGTTAGCCTGTGAAGAAATGATCACAGACTAATCCCTAGTATTTGCATGTTTATAGCCAATCTTGTAACGTTCAGAACTTGCGGGAGGGTACAGCACAATAAACATGTGGAGTAGTCAGGTGTAAAGGCAGGAAATACTTATTTCCTATGAGAAAATCTCTCTGCAGACCCTCTACAATGCAGAATTGCCTCAACAAGAATTCACGAAAAAGAAATGAGAAAGTTTTTTCAAATACTTATCTTGTCTTGTTTGCAGAGAATTAGAAAGTTTGCTGGAAACATATCAAATAGTGGCCTGCACCAGCAGCAAAATAGCTTCAGAACAAAACAATAGAAAATAGTTTACGAAAAAGTAGCTCATACAATGCCCAAGAACAAATAAAATACTCTTATATAACATTGCCATAAATTAAATATTTTCACAAAAACAGTCTTTATGAATACTGCAATAAACAGGAAGTGTGCAAGAACTTTTGCATGTTAAACCCCACCCTCTTCTCTATTCTTCCATTTCCATAGTAAGAGGGAAAGTTGTTAAAAAAACATATTTATTGCTTGAAAAATGTACAAAGGTAACTTCCAATGTACTTATAGAATATCAAATAAAAATAACAAACAATAAAATTGATGTTTGAAATAAATTTTGAATAAAGGATTATTCAGTGTTATCGACAGATTTTCTTGGAACAATTCACAGTACAACAACAGTTTTAGAGTCCTCATTTATAAAAAATGGTTGTGTGAGAGC